CGGCTGCGAGTGGCAGCCCGAGCGCCAGCGGGAAGGCGGCGGCGGCCGGCAGCATGGCTAGCACGGCCTCGGAGATCATCGCCTTCATGGTCTCCGTCTCGGGCTGGGTGCTGGTGTCCTCCACGCTGCCCACGGAGTACTGGAAAGTGTCCACCATCGACGGCACGGTCATCACCACCGCCACCTATTTTGCCAACCTGTGGAAGATGTGCGTGACCGACTCCACGGGCGTCGCCAACTGCAAGGAGTTCCCCTCCATGCTGGCTCTGGACGGTCTGCACCCCTCGCCCCCGGCCCCAGCCCCCCGCGTACGCCCTCGCCTCGCGACCCCGGGAGGGACCCCCGGGCCGGACCCCTCGGATCCGATGCCCGCCCCGCCCCATCCCACCCCAGCCGGAGGACTTCAGGGGTCCAGGGCCGTCCGCGGTGTCCCCGTCTCTGGACAGTTGTCCCCGGGGCAGGGGACACGCAGACAGGCACGGTGGGGTGACGCCCAGCCGCGAGGGTGGGGGCGCCTTACGGTCCTGAGACTGGAGGACACAGGGACTGTGGAGGCGTACAGTTCACCTTCAAGGACTTGCCCTTCCCGCTCCCCAGAAAAGCCGGGTTCTCCTTAAAACGGTGTCACTGAAACCCAGGGATCTTTGCCCTAAACTCCCTTTAGTGGTTTCCTTGGTTCTTTTAAAAGTAGGCGCGGAGAAAAAATGAAACATATTGCAGGTTTTTATGTTTCCCTTACGAAACGCTTCTACAGACCTCTCTGCTTAGGCTTTAACACTTCCTCCAAGCTTTAGGAAAGTAAGCGCTCCTCCTCACTTAGGAAGTCTCCCGGAGGGCAATGTTGGCCTGCAGGAACTTGGTGCTGGGAGCCGAGAGGGCTGCATCCCAGCCTGCCCTGTGCGCTCCGAGGTCCCCAGAGGGCTTGGGGGAGCTTTGCGTTGTACCCACAGGTTCGGTTCACATAGAAAACTGGTTCTGTTCCGTTTGCAGAAAACACTTGATTTCAACCCAGACACCTTGCTCAAGTTCTAGGCTTCTTCTCTTCCAGGATTTTACAGCAAGCGACTGGATGGAATCCTGGCAGAAACTTCAACAGGAGTCATTTGCATTATTTTTAGATTTGAAGTGTCTTCCCTTTCTTTATTATTGGTCTTGCAGTTTTTATTTGCATAGCTGGGTAAATAAAAGATTTAATCCAGCTAAGACAGTGCTTGCCACGAAAAGCAAACTGTTGCTCAACTCCGTGTTGGATGGAACCTGGTATAAAGGAATACGTGTCTGGCTTTGGAAGGGTGGCACCCGGGTCTGAGTCCTGTTGTGTAAAAGAAGTAGCCGGAACACTGTTTACTCCCTAGCATTGCTGTTGAATTTCCTGTGCCCTGAAGAGCGCACCCAGGTAGATGAACAGGCAGGCTCTTGTTTCTGTGGTTTACATTCAGAAGCATGAGGTTGACAGTTGCTGTCCAAGAGCGTTCTTTGTAGCACTATTGTTGCTTGAGAAAGCGTGCCAGATAGGCGCAGCTTCCTTCTATGCACAGCTGGGGTACCGGGGAGAGGAGAAGGAGATGTTCCTCGAAGATTACTGAGTGCAGGCCAGTGGCTATTTCCCTCAGCATCTGAAATGAGTATGAAGGTGTCCTTGATTTGGGGGCAAGTGAGCTACTGGGGAAGAAGGAGTCCTAGAGTTCGCTGGGAGTGGAGCAGAGGGGAGTGACATTCTATGCCTCCCAGCTTGCAGAATGGCTTTTCCTGTGTTTTCATGGGACTGGAAAGAAATGATTTTTTTAAAAGAACAAAAGTTACATGTTCTGCAATGCTTTTAAATTAATAACATCTTTCCAAGTCGGTCAAGATAGAATGTCTTTTTAACTGCTGCATAGTATTCATTATTCTGGATAAACTGGTTTATTTAATCATTTACTCATTGTGGTAATTGGACCCTTTCCAACTTCGGCTGTTATTAGCACTTTACTGAAATTTTTTGTATTTGCCTCTTTGTACACATGGGTAATCTATTGCCCTGAGCAATGGTATTTCCAGAATAGCAGAACGTGCATTTAAATATTTGGTTCATACTGCCAAATCACATTCCACCAGTAGTGTGTGAGAGCTGCTTCTCCACATTCCCACCACTCACTCCTTCATCCGGGGTTATTGGCAATAGTTTTTGTCTTGTTATCATTTTAATTGGCATTCCCCTGATTCCTGGTGGTTTTTCTCCTCTTGTGTATTTATGGACAGTTCTTCCGTGAATTGTCCATATCCTCTTTTTGGCTTGTGATTTGTCAGTGCTTGACTCTGTCTGTGCAATAGATGTGTACAGTTTGGTCCATTGCTTATGTTTCACATTTATGATGGCTTTTGTCATACTTTGACATGTGTGATATAATCACATGTATCAGTCCCTTCCTCGGTGATTTTGACTTCTGTGGCTGTAAGCGGGCACTTCCTACCTCAGAGCGATAAACATGCCTTTTCTGTGTCTCCCAGAAGGGTTGAGTCACACAGCTACACTTTCACACGACGGGGAGTTGCTCCCTGCAGCTGCATGTGGAACTTTCCAGAGCAGGCCCCTCTGCTTGTCTGCTTTCTGCCCTGAATTCCCAGGTCAGGTGCATCTAGTGAGTGCTGGTCTCAAATGCCTTTGAAGTGGAAGGAGAAAGCTGCCTTCCTGTGGGCCTTGTGGCCCCTGAAGCCCAGTCTTCTGCTTAAACCAGGCATGCGCTGTGAGTTGGTAAGAGAATCCAAGCAGAGAGAAGGCTCATGACTCTCACTCGTCTTGTGTTAAGAAGAAAAAACAAGCCTCGAGGATGCAGATGATGGTCGAAAAGCCCTGATCTCTCATCCTCAGGATGTAATTGCTATTCCAGTTTCCCCTATAAGGAAGAAGAGGCTTAGCAAAATCAACTGTGTAGATTCGATGTTGCATCTTGTTAAAGAGTCCAGCTCTCATTCTGCTTAGAATCAACCTTAGTATTATGGAAGAGAAGCTTTGATGAGTTTCTTGCTGCTTGTTATGGTTTGGGTCTTGATGTCCCCCCAAAGCTTCATGCAGTCAGAGTTTCTTGGGAGGTGGCTGAATCCAGAGTGTGTGACTGATTCGGAGTGCAGTGCTGGGATTAAGGGGAGGTGATTGCTGGTTCAGTCCACTGATTGGATTTGTACTGCCCTAATCCCGGTAGACTGAATAAGGGATGGAAAGAACTCTCTTGTTGCTTTTGTTGACTTCTGCTGGCATGAACTGTTGCCTCTGTGCCACGTGCCACCCTGCTTTGGAGCCAGCTGATTATGGACTGAAACCTCTACAAACTGTGAGCTAAATAAACGTTTCCCACCCCTTTAACTTTGGGTGTCAGGTATTTTGTTTCACCAACAAGAAAAGCAACTAAGGTACTACTTGTGAGACACTTTGCTCATATTTTTCATCCTGTGAAGTAGGTGCAGCTGTCCGTTTTACAGATGAGAAAATCGAGACTGGGAGAGATTAGTAATGTGATCAAGGCAAACAGAAGCACCAAAACTGAAATTCAAAGTTCCTGCCTTCCCCATGCACTCTTCCTTCAAAGAATTTGCAGAAGTACACAAAGCAGCTAGTCTAAGAGAAGCGCCTTCTTTTCTCTCCCTTAAATCCAGAAACTAGCTAAGGTGCTGCTGGTGAACTGTCTCCACCAAGTGGAGGTTTCCATTTTTGCTGGTTGCAGTTGAAAATAACGACCCATCATTTGGAAAACACTTCACTTTTAAGGGATGCCTTGGACGTTTCCTCCCGTGGAATTCATTAGTTTAAAGTCACTAGATGAAATTTTCATGGGTGAATGAGCCAGTGTTTCATTTATTGCTAACTGATGTTCTTTTCCAAGCACCACTTGAACTTCAGCTGAGAATCATTTTCGGCCAGGTTGTTTTTACTGTATGCCATCTATTTTTGTTAGTGGGAATGTTTGCCACATCTCCCAGGAGAAACTAACTATAAATTATACTTCAGAGAACTTCTAAGGAAATATGTTCCTGTCTCAGCACTTTAATGTGTTAATTAGCTATTAACAGTGTCAGTAAATTAGGCCTGTCAAAAATAATGGTCTCCTTGGCTAGGTTTTTACTACCACTTCACTTGATGGAAGTTTTGCCCTCAGGAACTGTGAAAAAGCTAGGTTGCAAAAGATAAACTTCAAGTTTGTTGGGAGTCCCTTAAACCCTGAGTCTGTGAGTGTGGCCCCTCTTTTACAAACCTCTGGCTTATCAACAACCTGATTCCTCTTGCAGCTGGCGGAGCAGTTTATTCCCTGCTCTTGGCTCAGAATTTTAGAAAATCTGCCACCAACTGTTCTTATGAGGGTTAGGGTTTATTGCTGCCATTCTCCTGCAGGAAAGAGGTGCCTTGCTTTCCACACTCAGGGGTCTGACCAGCACAAAAAGAAGGAGTTGAGCCAATCAGAACCTGCTTGGTCCATCTCTTCTCTTCTGTTTGTACCAAGAGATCAGAGCAGTTCTGAGATGGAAGAGTTCAAAATAAGAGACTCAGAAAAAGTGGTTTGTGGGGTGGTTGCATAAGTGTAAAGACTGCTGGTATTTTCCCTGTTATATGAAGGGTTGACTGCGTTGGCCTGGGATTCTAACCACTGTTTACCGTGTGGGAAGACGCATTCCTCGTTCTAAATGACCAAATTGTAGAACTTAACCTTTGGTAAATTCCAGACCATCTGCCTTGTAATAAGGAATTGAGATAACGAGGGTAAATGCAAATTATGGTGCTTGATAAAGATTTCCAGGAATATACGTGTGCGTGTCTTTCTACATGGTCCAAAAATATTAAATGGAAATTCTAAAAGTAACGTAAGTTTTAAATAACTTTTACCACAGTAAATTGTTATAATTATTCTATTCTGTCATTAGATGTTGTTAATCACTTCTGGTGTCTAATTAAGGCTTTGTCACATATTTATAGGAAACAGCATGTGAGGGGTTTGGTACTGTCCACAATGTGAGGCATCCCCACATCCATCTCATGCTGATAAAGAGGGAATACCATGTGTGTGTGTGTTTCCCTCTATTTTTTAATTGTTCAATGACTACACTTAGGATTATCTAAAACACCTCAAAACCGTAGATTAAAAAGAATTTCACAAAATAATGAAACCACACCGTGGCAGGAGTTCCTGTGAATAATGAATACTTTTGGCTCCAGGGCACACTCCCTGTGCTCATGCGGGGCCTCCCCAGCCTCCTCCCTGTCCTGCCTCTGCCTGCGCCCTGCACTTGGGCTGGGGACTCATGGGTTGAAGTTGAAAACAGAGCTGGTTCAGTGTCTGGCAGCAGAGACTCAGATGGTTCCGCAGCATGAGTACTGCTATCAAAAGAAGCCTCCATTATCCTAATTTGCTAAAAATAAGTTTTTTATGCTGGTTTTTTTTGTTGTTGTTGTTCTCCATCAATTTTTTTTTTTATTTTATGGAAAAAAGGTAAAACAAAATTTCATAACAAAATAATGGGACATTAACAATAGTTAATACATTGCATGCTGTTATCTTTAAAGTAGTTGCTCAGGGTACAAGCTATGGGTATAAAAATCAATATCAATATCAATATCTGTTTTAATGAACTAAGAGACATTTACAGTATAAGTGACTTGTATTTTTTCCCTTTTCCCTACTGTCCTTTTCCATTTCACCTATCCTAGTTCCTTTTCCCCCAATCTCTTTCCATTTCACAATGTCTATTGTACATTTTAGAAGTTCAGTGAAAGTACTTTCTGTGTGGAGGTAGCTGGCACTAGGGACCTTGTCATTGCAGTGTGCGTTTATAAGGTGTAAGTGGGTTACAGTTAAATAAAACAGCTTCCATTTGCTCTTTAGAGTACATCCTAGCAATAAAGATTCCAATTTAAATTTCATTCTTTTCCAAAGAAACATGGGAGTGGACACCACCAGCATTTACTCCCTGAATTTATGATGATCATCATTTTATTATTATTGTTTCCTTTACCTAAATACTAATAATAAGTTCCTCACTATATCCTGGCATTTAAGAGTTTTCTTTTTTCCAGTTAGAAAGTTTAATCCCAGTGTAAACCTGATATGTGTGTTCATTTACTTAACAAATATTTACTTACACTCAATATGCTTCTTTCACTATTTCAGACTGAAATGAAAATGATTTATGTAGTAAAAAGTTATTAGTTTAAATCCTGCTAATTTACAATGTATTTGTGCTTGGATAAAAGCCACACTGAAGTTTACCATCCCCCTGGCTATGCAAATAAAAATATGTAAGGGAATAAATGGTACAAGGAGGATGATCCAACAAACCAACAGGGTATTTTTAGGGTACTTCTTTTTCTTTTTGTTTTTGTTTTTTTTCCGGTTCCGGGAATTGAACTCACGACCTTGTGCTTGCCAGGCAGGCGTTATGCCACTGAGCTAAATCCCCAATCCCCTTTTTAGGGTATTTTAAATGCACTCATATATATGCAAACATTTGGTTTAATAATTATAAATTACTTTTCTATCAAGCAACACTTTTGAAAGCCCAATTCTATATTCTCTGACAAAAATACAATGTCAATCAAATTTTTCTTGATTTAAACTCCCCATGGTTCATAAAAATATCACAGTGAGTCTCATGTCTAACCCTTCAGTAGGGCTGGTGATACAGCTCAGTGGCAGAAGCTCCTGTCTAGCAAGCGCAAGGTCTTCAGTTCAATTCCCAGTACCAAAAAAATACCTTCAGTAGTATTAGACGATTTGACCTTTTGGCAACTCTTGCTGACCACGTGAACCTTTATAATTTTATAAAGTCAAGTCATGAGTACCTATCTAAAAGGTTGATAGGTTGATGCGCAAAGGAGTTAGTTTTGAAGAGGCAGGTGATGGCTCACAGGAAAGATAGTTTTGCATGGATATGATAGTCTAAACTAGAATGAAATCTCTCTCTGCGCTTTACTAACTGACCTCTGGCAAATAATGGAAATGTTAATACCTGTGTTTCTTCATCAGCGAATATGGGAATAACAATACTCGGAGATCTAGCTAGAGCATCGTGCATACACTAAACTTTAACATGTTTGACATAGGATTGCACACTCTGTATAGATTAACCTGCTTTCTATTCTCTCTTGTCTTGCTTCCTGGTTATTTTTCTCAGACAGCAGAACAGTCACCCGAATGACAGCATAAGCAGAGGATTTCTCCCTGTTAACGTAAATGTCTCCTCTCGTTGCAGGCTATATCCAGGCATGTAGAGGGCTTATGATTGCTGCTGTCAGCCTGGGATTTTTTGGTTCCATATTTGCGCTCTTTGGAATGAAGTGTACCAAGGTTGGAGGCTCAGATAAATCCAAAGCTAAAATTGCTTGCCTGGCTGGAATTGTATTCATCCTGTCAGGTAAATAATAACTTTTTTCCAAGCAAGGCGCTTTGCGCTAGTAATGAAATGACACTAACCACAGTGCTTCCCCTTTGATACCTTTTAGGGTTGTGCTCAATGACTGGCTGTTCTCTGTACGCAAACAAAATCACAACAGAATTCTTTGATCCTCTCTTTGTGGAGCAAAAGTAAGTGTTCTTCTCAGTCTACAGTACACGTTTCTAGCTCACAGAAAATCGCACACATTAATGTTCTGGATTGAGAGGCATACAGTTCCTACGGGGCTGTTGGAAAGTGAAGCATGCTAATAACTGGTAGCTGATGGCATCCTTCAAATGTATGTACTCCACTGACAAAGAGACCTTTAATTACTTCGTCAGCTTTACATAGTCTCTTAAGTAGCACCAGGCTTAGTATTTAGAACATAAACTTTACCTATTGTACATCACAGAACTGAAGTCAAGCACAGGGAAAGTGGAAGAGAGGTGAGAGGTGGAAAAGAAGGAGGGAGAACCTGACAGAACAGAGACTTCCAAGCTTGTCCGGATTGTTATTCATCCAAAATGAGGTCTGCCCCTAGGCAAATATTTGTCTCTGGGCCTTGTAAATTTGCTCTTCTGTAAAAGACTCCTCCTTATCAACTTTTATAAAGAATGACATGATTCACAGTTTTTAAAAAGTGCTGTGTGCCTGGTGCTGATACCCAAGTGTGGCGGCTCAGTTGCAGAACGGTGTTTTAGCATTAACGGAGCAGTTTCTGGTTGTTGCTTTTATGCTATGGGTTGCTGCTTTTTATAGTTTTTCTGGCTTATTTCACTGCAGTGGGAAAACCCCCCAGATTCCACGTCAGAAATAACCACATATGAAATCTTTTGTCTTACCTGAGACTGCTTACGTACCTCTATAGGAAGTTGCATGTGTAAACCTGTGTATTGCAGTCAACCAGGCTGGCGGTTCTTTCAGACTTCAGATCAAATATTAAACTTTTTTTAAAAAGTGAGTTACTGCAATAACTGTTCAAGTGAGCATCACTTTTTTTGGTGTATTTAGCGATCTATAGAAAACCAATTTTCTAGTCGTCATCAGCATAGTAAAAGCACAATAGCAAGTATTCAAAGTGGGAAATGTAATGAAAATAATAACTAACACATTTTGAACCCCTCATGTATGCCAAGTAGAACATAAATATTAGATTATTATATTTTATAACATCCTTATAGGTAAGTTCTCTTAGGACTCTCTTATCTGAATTTGAAGAAAGAGATCAAATAATATGTTGAAGAAATCTTGGATTAAACTAGTTAGTTGATTGAGCCATGATTTAAGTCAGGCAGTTGAACCACAGAGCATTTGCTCTAAAATGTGTGATTTATAATATTCTACTGCTTCATAATTTTTGTCAGAGTGCTGCATATACTTTCCACCAGGGTGTTTCTTCTGTATATTTTAAAGAAGTTTTCATTCAGAAACTTTATGAAATGAAAAACAAAAATGACTGTGTTAGGCCCTAGTATAAATTTTACTTCCCTGCCTATGTTAGAAAACTGAGTCCTGATTTGTAAATTTTCTCCCAACTTATTTTATTTATTTATTTATTT